GGCGCGGAGCGGCGCGGAGCAGTCGGGGGATTCCTGCGGCGGCGGGGGGCGGGGCGCGCCTGCCGCAGGGGCGGGCTTCGCCCCAGGGGGCCGGGAAGGGCGGCTGGCGGGGAGGGGGCGCTCCCAGGGTGAGCAGAGGGGCGGCAGGAGGCTCGGGGAGCCCTCTGACCTGAAAATATTTATAGCGGGGAGCTTCAGCACGAAGAGGAGACGTATGCTCGTCTTGCTCGTCCCTGCGCATCTGCTTACGGCCTTCCTTCCTCTATTTTTAGCAGTCGTTAAATTGTGTTCAGGAGATTTATTCTCACGTCTTTTCAGTTATTTGCATTCGCTGTTCTCCTTGCCAACCCAGCAAAGAGGTGGTTTTGTTTTGTTTTTTTCCCCCCCAAGCTTCTCTCTGACTTCATCCTCGTGACCCCTCCTTGCCAGGGATCCCGCATGGTCAGAGGTGCCACTGGTCCTTTCATGCTGAACGCAGCGCACATCGCTATCTTTGTGACCTGGGCTATCTTGCTGCTGTGCTGGCCTTGAACAGCCTGGACTACTCCATCCTGGAGTGGGCTCTGTATTTCTGCCACATCTTCTCACTGGGAGATGTTCTCTCTCTGCAAACGTGAGAAGGTGCACTGAAGCACTTGCAGTTCTTGCTGTCGGTGGTCATAAATGGATTGAACTTTCAGTTTTGGTCACAGAAGTAGGGAGCTCGAGGATCCCTTGCTTCAGGCAGTACTTGTGTTTTTTTTAGTCCAAAATACATGCGTTCAGATGAGTATAACTAACAGGCCTGCATGTAACTTCTAAAAAGTCCTTTGATGTTAGAATAAAGCAAAGGGTTTTGGTAATGCACGGTGCTACCATTACATCTGGAAAGGCTGTGGGCAGAGAGCAGGAATTTTCTTCTGCCTTTAGAGAAGCTTCTAGGTCTTCTATGACTCCACAGAATGGCATGTCCATGAAATATTCTGCTTTGGAGGAAATCTGCAATCTCTGCCCACAGGTCTTGCCTTGAGCTGAGGCCAGGAGTCGCTGCTGAACACCCCGTGTATGAGGTGGCACGCTCTCTAGTCACGCACCTCGATCCCTGCCTGGGGCTCAGCAGCCTGACGGGAGCATAAAGGCACCTAGCACTGGCCTGAAGGCCTGAACTGTAGATCTCTTCCCTTCTGACTCAGGAGGCACTTCAGCTGGCCTGCCAGTAACGCTGCGCGCTTACACGGCAGGCTGGTGGTTGCGCTTGGGCTGCCGGAGCCCCAGACCCAGGAAGAAAACCGTGACGCATAACCATGGCGTTTGTTTTGTTTCAGGTGCTGCGGGAGTGCTGGTGGGACACCCGTTTGACACTGTTAAGGTGGGTTGATTATGAAATACCTGTTGTCTCTAGGTAGAAAACTTGAAGTGTTTCCAAGGAGTGGGGGAGGAAAAAAAAAATAATCCCCAGACACTGTAGGAGCGTAAACCTGTGCTGGAAAGCTTGGAGCGAGCCTCCTCAGCCACTGTTTATAGATTTGCAGTCTCCAGCTCTTCAGAAGTGAAAAAATTCCTTGTATGTATGATTCAACCCAGTAACATGACAAACGTTGGCCTAAACTACAAGTTCATCAGTGCAGTAATATCATTGTATTTGAAAATACCATCTTACATTTAACTTAATTTTGTTCTAAGCTTGCTTCTTCGCAGCTGTTCATCACTAACTGCTAAAACTGCCTCTCCCTGCGTTTGTAACTCAAACCTACTTTGTTACGAGGTTGAAAATTTGTGTTTTGTTTTCCCCTCAAGCATTAATTTGTTACGCTAGCCAAAGGGTGTAAGTGGATAAAATTCCACAGCATGAAGCTTGTCTGGGGCCTTTTTCCTCCCTTTAAGTATTATTATATATTTTTATAACTTTCCAAGTTAAAATTGATTTTTGTGACAGTTGCTTAGCTGTATGTATTATGCATACTAAGGGTAGCTAAGACCTGTTCAAAGATAAGATTTGAAATCTCCTGGAGGGCCCTTCAGCCAGGACTGCCACGGGTCCAAGCCCATTTTTCAGAATGGGATGGCAACTTAAGTCATTTTTTGGCAGCCTTATCCAAAGTCTCACAGTGAAAGAATAGAAGAAGGGATGCCAATATAGAAGAAGGGATGCCAATATATTCCCTGCTAAATTAATACACCAGATCATTTGACTGTGCCAGACAGCATGCCACCCGCTAGAGCTATATTTGGAGCACTTCTACAGCAATCTAAATTGCTGAATTTAGATATGCAAAGGGCTGCTAGTGTTACCGAGGTCATCACCATATTCTGTATTCTAGCACGTGGTTAATTCAATACAGATTTTCCTAGCTAGTGGCTATTAGTCCTTGCCAGTCAAGTGCAAGCTGCTCAAATAGTAAAAACTGTATGCATGTTTCTCGGACTATGGTAAATTTGACTGTTGAGTAGTTGGGTTGAATTCTAGTATGTATTTTGAGGAATGGCATTATCTAGATTTGCACATTTTTTTTTTTGTTGTTGGTACAGGGCCAGCTGTCTTTTTCTCTCACCCCCATCCTACCAAGTTTTACATGCTTAACTTAAGGTGATGGGTCATTTCACTGAAGCCAGGGGTGTTTTGTTTTTAAAGTGGAACAGCTTCTAGCACATGAAGCTAAACATTTAAGTGCCTGCAAAACTGGGGCTCCCATGCTAGTTCCAGCAGATCTATTAATGCAAAATAGATGTGTTGGCTTTAGAAAAAGCATCTTGCTTTACAGTAGAGCAAATAGTTTGTTTCTGGATGACTTTAAATGTTTTATGAAATCCAGTGTGGCGCACACTATTTTCATACCCATTAGAAGGTATTATAAGCAGTTATCTATTTTTTGTTAGAGAAAATACTAATGTTTGTTATTAGCTGGCATAGTCACCACTGTATGTGGGAAAACTAACACTATAACCAGTCTTTAGGAAAAAAAAAAAGACATTGCATAACTTGTTGTGTATGAATGTGTGTTAAGAATTAACCCTTTTTATAGTTCTGCTGTGTTTAAAGGGCTTAGCTGGTAGTCACCTTAGACTGTAAGTTTGTAATATAACTGAACAATGGAAAAGCTGCTTAGATAAGCCAGAATTTTACGTCTGTCTTGGCTTTTAAGCTCTTTTTTGGCCAGTCATCACGTTTCACAAAGCGGGGAGGGGGATGGTGGGACACACAGGGAGAGATTAAGCCGGTGAAGTCACCCTGCGAAACCCACAACTGAGCTGATCTCAGAACTGGCAAACTCCTTATCCCTGGTTTGTTGATGTAATGTATAAAATTGCTTTTTTGCTTTTAACTGCCTTTACTTTCTGAGCTAGGGGCTGTCTTCATTAACAGCAAAAGTGTTACTTTGTTGTAGATGACAGATAAGCCTCATCACGGGAGAGTTACCTAGTAAGTATAGCCCAGGTGAACACTTCTGTTTCTCTCAGTCTTAATTTATTCCCAAATGTATTAGTTCAAATAAAGATCTAAAAGACTTATGAAGCTTTTTTCCTTTTTAGTTTTAAACTGATGTGTCCCTCTTCTACAGCTATGGCATGGAGGGAGCGGGTTTAAATGGTTTAAATATCCCTTTTTTTTTTTTCTCTGAACCTTCTTTCTGGTATGCATTTCCAGCTATATACACTTCCACACACAGTGGCTCTAAAACTGAACCTCAGGTACGCTGTTGTTGAGGTCTTATCCACTACATATCCTTGGAGGATATTTTCCTTGCTCAAACACTTCTAAGTCACTTATTTTGCACATTATTAAATATTTGGGGTGTGGTGGTTTGGTTTTTTTTGCTTAGTCTTGAGTACCTTTATGCAAGTCTTTAGTGATGTGAAATTACAGTGTGTTACTATTGGACCTAAAACCTTAGTAACAGTGGTTTCAAATAAGAAGGAAGCAAGAATATTGTGCAATGAATAGAATAGAGGGTTAAACTTTGCGCATGATTCATCCTTCCTACAGTTGTACACACTAAATAAGAGCTTATTGAATATTTAATTATTTATTATTCATTAATATCCATAAATAAATAAAGTTTCATATACATTCATTGCCTGACCTGGCAGTTTGCTAGTGTCATCACTGTGCTCAAATAAGAGCTGGTTTTTATTCCTAGACATGGAGTGTCACTACTTAACTTTCTAAATATTTTATCCTACAACAAGGCTTATTTGGTCAACATTTCACAAATTATTTAGACACAAATAGTGGGAGCTGTATGCCACTAGGAAATTCAACCTATATACAGAATATGACCAATTCTAAACTACTAAAGACAAGTATATAGAAAAGTCAAAACAAGAAGGTTCCTAAGCTGCAGTTCTCCCAAAGCCCATACATGTGGAAGTCCCCTTCACAGATGGGGTTTGAAACAATAGCAGTAAATTATAAGTGGAGTAAAACCTTTGTTTTGTGCAATTCTGAGAGCTTGTTAAGATACATGACTTTGCTTGTGGGTCTGCTTCTTGAGCAGTTTTACCAATCTGCCTGCCCCCCAAACGTCCCTTTGAGTAACAAAGGATTTATTTGCTTTGAATCCTACCATAAGCCTACTTTTAACTCGGAAGAAGTTTTAAAATCCTGTTGCATCTTGGAAGACCTGAGGTGATCTCAGCCTCCCAGTACGGCTAGCATACACTAACATGTATACTAAAAAGACACTGAAAATTAATGTTTCAATTTACAAAACATAAAATGACATGTTTAGTAATAGAAAAAATTACTGAAACTGTAAGTAATTTATTTTTTGCCTCAAATAAAGCTAACCTGAATACAGAATTCTGACAAACCATGTCCCCAAATCCTTTTCTAGGCCTACATCATCTTATGGGTCTTTCATTGTTGTGGTGGTGTTTATCATTATTTGCCTAAAGTAATAATAAAAAGATTTTTAAAGTCAGGAATCTTTCCTGCAGGCCTGATAATATTTTCTTTTGTTCAGAGTAAGAGTCTTGAAGTTTTTTGCCCTGGAGTTGTAGCAGCAGCATTAAATAGCTGATAAGCATCTTTTCTGAGGAACATTGCAGCCCTCCACGATGGAGATCAAAGACAGATTTCTAACTTCCCCAATCCAGTGAAACCAGTTCATTGAGTTTATCGCAGTGTAGGGCTTTACATGAACTAGGTAGCCTTGAGATTTTTTTTATTTTAAGTGTGCTGAGGACAAATTAGCAGGAAAAAACAGAATTGGACTTTCCAATTAAAGGTTAAAAAGGGCCTGTCTCCTAATGTCACCAGTTACAGTAGCATCTGGCTGTCCAGCAGAGCATACCATTTCAGTTTTGGAAAAGTTAATTGGATTACTAACATTAAGGTTAAAAATACAGACTAAAATTTAAAAGGACAAGTGGCTTTTTATTCCTTTCTTTATGCAAAGGAAGACATCTTAAGAGTCACTTCCCAGCTACCCTCTGGAAAAAATCAGATTTCAGTGAAGGATCCCAAGTCTGGTAGCTAGAAACACTGTGAGTGGTGGTGTTGAAAGTTTCCATCCTTTTAAAATTATCCTTATTTCACGCTTGACTTGTAAATAAATTTTTATAAAATTCTATCAGGTTTGTACAGATATTCCTTAGTGTGAACAGAAGTATTCTTGGCAGCTAGAGAAAGTCCTTATTGTGGCCAGTACTGGAAAACGTCAATCTGAAATTCTAGATAAGTGTACCCTTTTGTACTTCCACATACTGTTTTTCTAATATTCACAAAGAAGTTAATAATCTTCCTCCCTTCATGTTTTTGCCCCAAAAATCAATTCAAACCACTTACAGAATATTTTTAAATTATTTTGCCACATATGGCATTCCAGTGTCCAGCCTGTGCTCTTGCATATACATTGCTATAGCAAATCTCCATATATGTACAAGACACTAGTTTACCAGCGAGGCTGCTCTTGACATACAAATCAGTATCTCATACAACTTTTTATAGGTTCGTCTACAAGTTCAAAATGTAGAGAAACCTCTCTACCGTGGGACCTTCCATTGCTTTCAGTCCATCATAAAGCAAGAATCTGTAAGTACAAAATTAACGCTTTGCATATTTTGTATCAGAAGGGTGGGAAAGCTGTTAGAAAACCCCTACAAATATGGAAGATCAAGAGACAAGCATACTCTGAACCTCACCTGACCACAGGGCAGATGTAGTGAGAAATTTGCCAGAAACTTCACAAAGAAGATCACTGAGTTGGAAGTTGATATTTTGAAGTTAACACTTTAAATAAAATAACGAGTTATTTGAATAGCTAATTTTCCAAGAATCCAAGCAATCTGAGCAAGGAGTGAAGAAATTGGTGAGGTGTTTTTTTCTGCTGAAGCTTTAAGACCGTAACTAAAAGGGTGGCTTTAGGCTTTTAGCTACTTAAAGTTTACAAGAAAACTTTTCTCTGAATGGACTAAGGTTATTTTCTGGATGTGTTGAACTATATATTTGTACTGCTAAAAATGTTTAGATGTTTGTGTCCTAGGCAGTGATGAAATTACTATTACAAAGCAAGATGGTACTGATCTTCTGGCCACTGTTAGAAAGATGAGGCACAAGGGAGAGCCAGAAAGGCCGTGTTCTGCACAGTTTCAGGAGGTTATCACCACCACTGTTAAAAAGGGTTTTTCCTTCCTTCTTCCATTAGGCTTTTGGACTCTATAAAGGTATTGGGTCACCAATGATGGGACTTACCTTCATTAACGCGCTTGTGTTTGGTGTACAAGGAAACACGCTTCGCGCTCTTGGAAAAGACACTCCTCTAAACCAGTTCCTTGCAGGGTCAGCGGCAGGGGCTATCCAGTGCATCATCTGCTGTCCCATGGAGTTAGCAAAGACAAGAATGCAGCTTCAAGGAACAGGTGAATACAAGCTAAAAACAAAGAACTACAAAAATTCTCTGGATTGTTTGATCAAAATCTATCGAAAGGAAGGGCTGAGGGGTATCAACAGGGGCATGGTCTCTACGTTCATAAGAGAGACTCCAAGCTTTGGCTTTTACTTCCTGACCTATGACTGCATGACCAGGTATTTAGGCTGCGAAGCTGAAGACAGTTATGTTATTCCTAAACTGCTGTTTTCCGGTGGGATGTCAGGAATCGTGTCCTGGCTCTCAACCTACCCTGTGGATGTGATCAAATCCCGGCTTCAGGCCGATGGAGTCGGCGGCGTTACACAATACAATGGCATTTTGGACTGCGTCCGAAAGAGTTACCATGAAGAAGGCTGGAGGGTGTTCACAAGAGGTCTTACTTCCACACTTCTCCGTGCTTTTCCTGTCAATGCAGCTACCTTTGCTACTGTCACTGTGTTCCTAATGTACATGAGGTCAGAAGACAACCTTCGTGAATGTGAACCAGGTCCAGTAATCCAGCAGCCTTCCAGTTTGTGAACCTCCTCTCTTTGCTCCCCTGATCCAAAGCCGGGCTGGTTGGATTTTTTTAAACATAAACACTTGACCCGCACAAGTGGTGTAAATGTATGCTATCCGTATAAAGAATTCCTAACTGTGTCAAATTAGGATTTCATCTCATTACTTGTATAAACAGCGTATTGCCTTATTAAGGACTTCATATCTCGTAGTATCCAAGTAAGATGGGGACCTGCCTTTAGAAAGTACTGTAGTTACTGTTGCGGCTCCAGAAGAGGATCTGGAGAACGTCGTAGTACCAGAAATCAGGTTTTCTTCCACTCATGTTCTGAATGACTGAGTTGAATGCAGAAATGTTTTCAGAAAAGAAATGAGTAACAGGAGTAAGTATAGTCCTCTAGGGTGAAGTAGGGGAAGGAAGTTAAATGTTGGAGGCATTTTGCAGGTAACCCTGAACTGTTTAAGACATGGACTAGCATTCAGCTAGCCATGTGTTTGTTTTTGTTTTTTTTTTTTTAACCCTCTGCTTTTATATGTCAGTGGTTTTAGTAGCAACTTTGTTCATACTGGTTTGCTAAAAAAAAAAAAAAAAAAAAAAAAAATTGTTCCTAAGCTTCTCCCTTACCTTTCAGCTTTGAATAAATATCTTAAGCACAAAGTTAGCATCTGCACTCATATGCACTTGTTCCTTTAAATCTCAAAGCTTGTAAGGATTTAGGGAAACTCAAATCTAGTAAGATTGATGTTACTTGCCCTCACCTCTATTTCTTGTTTGGTGGGTGCATGGATTGTATTGACTAGATTCAGCCCAAGCAGACTTCGTTCTCTGAAGTTAATGCAACTTCGTGCCACTTCTCCCAACGTGCACCATAGCAGCCAGTGATGTACAGAAGTCAAAGTCCTCCCTGTGGTATTGCACAAAATGTTCGCGGGTGCAATGTTCGCTTAGCAGCTTGAAGTACTGTAGAAATACGTATGTGTTCAGAACTGGAGGTTTCATACCTTTCCAGAAAATAGGGGTGTAAGTGTCTGGAATGGTTGGTGTTCAATACACTTGCATTATGAATTTAAACAATACTGATTTTTATGTATTTAGTTACAGTGCTACTGGAAAAAAGACTGAAAAGGTTTGGAGAATTTTCTTGTTATGTTAATCCGCTGTGATCTTTTTTAGCCATCTGTTTAAGAGGGATTGCAATTAGTGAAAGAGCTATAAACAGTTATTTAAGATTTGGCATAAGAACTACACATATTTGGCACAAATAGCCAGGAGGAAGTAGTGCATGTGTGTGAGGAATGTTCTAAAACGTATCACTAGTTCAGTAAGTACAACTTGTTACACTTTTGGTTGGGACAAGTGCAATATGTGGTTAATTTATATGAATTTTCTAAAGAAACCTTATTTCATAGCATTTTGCACTGTAACAAAATATGCTGGAGAAACCTGTAAAACTGGTATGTCTCTTTATACCTTGGAGGTATGTTGGATGTTATAGTGCCTACTTGCACTGCGATTCAAATTGAATGTTAAGTCTGTCTACTAAGCTGCATATGCACAACAACTCACAGCAAAGACCATTTACACCTTTGTACAGTAGTCTGTAATTATTGTATATAAAATTAAGGGAATAAATTTTTTAAAAATTTTGACTTTGGTTCTTTAAAGTTTAATGTTTTACTCAGATGCTTCCTTGTGCTAAATCTAGCTTGCAAGAGGGTGGGGGCTCTGGCTTTTGCCTGAAGAAGCTTGTTCCCCACCTGCCTTCCACACACCACCAGGAAGGCCAGTGCCTTGCTCTGGCTTTGAGCATGTCATTCAGTTCATTGAAGTGAAGAAGGGATGTTGCCTGAGCTCGCTTTTTCCAAATTGATCTTTTCACTGAGTACCTCACTTAAAGATATTATAGGTACTAAGAAAACAATCCTGCTTTTAGAGCCAGAGAGGCAGCAGCAGTCTTGGACCCTTCCTATTATGCATTTATTTGGCTTAAGCAGCGCTGATCAGCACCAAGGCTGTACAACTGCAGAAGACAAGTCTAGGGTCCGTATGGAGTCACGTCAGAATCAAGTACCAGGTCTGCGAACAGCACTGTTCGTACCTCCATCAGAATAATGCTTGGCTCTAAGACGCACAAGTTTAGCAAAAAGCTTTGTAGGATGTAGTTTTTTGTTTTTAGACAATGCAACTAGTCCAAAGAACATCAACGTTCCAAATAAAAAGCAGGAAGAGCAGGACAATGTGTATTATGAACTATGAAGAAGACCTCTCATTGCTGGTGAGAGGTTATTTCAGGTACTGGCTCCACTACTTCAGCTTCTTAAAGGGTAGATACGCATGACCGAATGAAACCCTGTCAAGCCTCAGTTTGCTAGATCAGGAAAGGGAGAGGCCACCGCTTCAACTAGCCATGACCAGGGGCAGTTCCAGTGAAGTACCTTTTGTTCTCTCAGCAGGAGCAACAACATTGAACTATGGCACAGAAAAATACTTGGAATAAGCAAGCAGTGTCTCCTTAAAAGAGAGTAACATCATTAAAACAGAAAGGGTTACACAATGGTTTACTTGCAGTGTTTACTAAAACATTCTCTCCAGAAATTCATCCATCTGGACTTAAAAGAAATATCAATAGCAGACACTGGAGGCTACTCAACAAGCCTAAGAGGAGGGTAAAAGCCAGCTTTCAACCTAGTCCGATGTTACTGGCTTGAAATCCGTGCAACTCCTAACTATTAAATCAAGCTAGACAACAGCCTCAGCCCTTTATAAACATGATTCAGTCCCTTGCTGCTAGATTTTTTTGATGTGTCAGCTAATTTAGCCAACTCAGAACTGTATTCTGCCTCCCCAGATCCTCCTTCCCGCAAGCATCATCAAGCTTCGAGACACCGGGTAGGAGATGCTCTATTAATACCCCAACAGCTGAAGGGAATAAGAAGGTAAAACTCACTGAAAGTAAAACTCACCTACTACGTATCAAGTCCCCGTGCTCTACTCTTTCTTATGACCCACCCTGCTACTGGACGGGTCATACCAGTGTTACAGGTTGCAGCCACAAACACACTCAATTAGGACAAGAGGAAAACAAGCACCTAGGTACAACCTTTCCAAGTTTTAAGGAAATTATTAGAGTAAAACTACTGAGGTGAAATTCAGTTCATTTATCATGTCTGCAACCATAACATGATATTATTCGTATTTTTGGGGGGGGGGCTCTCTTCCTTGCTTTCCTCCGCATATAACTTTTTTACAGTTCACAGGAAAAGTAGGAAGACATTCAAGGGATGAAAACCTGTACGTTGCAGGTGCAGGACAGGTAGCATACTGGGAAAGTTACTAAGACACAAGTATAAAAAGTTGACCTTGCAGAGAACGGATGTTTGTTCTTTGAAATTAAATATATTTACTATTATGCTGGAAAACAGGTGTTAACAGCTGTTGTTAGCCAGACTTTTGATCTGTGGGTAGTTAAAGAACAACTTAAAGCTCAAAAGTGTGCCAAACATCATTAGATTAGCAGAAGGTGCAATTAAACCCCTCTTCTGCCAGAAAAACAGCCCGAGAAGACAGAAGCTTACCCAAGGCAACATGCCATATCAAACACCACAGCCACGGAGACAGATGAAGGATCTAAGGGACCATATGGCTCTGGAAGGCACAGCAAGACAGTAGGGAACCAGAGAACTTGCTGGGCCAAACCTAGTGGCGATAGGCTTTGAAATCAGGAGGAAGCAAACCACTTTCATCTTCCCAGTGCAACTGTTTCGCAATTTTTGTACTAGTGTTGTCCTTGCTAATTACAAAAATGGTTCTCACTAATAGAAGAAAAAATATTAGTGACATAATATGCACAATAATACATATGATATACAGTACAAGCTTGCCTACTTACAGTTTATTATCAGTTTTAACTGATTTGACCTAGAATGCGATTTTAAGCTATACAATTTCATCAATAAATAAATAAATTGAAAGCAAGCAAGGCAAGGTCTGCAGTGAAAAATAACACACTATACATTGATATAATTGGAAGAAAAGCAAGTTCTAATGTCCACAAAACATTCTTCAGGTCTATAAAACTTTACATCCAACAGTTAAATTGCTTCTCGGTATCATTCACTATTATTACTTACACTTCATTATCACTGCTCGCTCTTACTGAAAGAAACCTTCCACATTTTTCACTAACAGTAAGATAGAGTTGTACCATTTCAACCATATTAATGTGTCAATCGATATAAATACTAAAATAATAATGAAGCTTGACCTCATGGTCTGCACTGTTTGCTAAGTAAGTCAAAATAGGAAGAATTGTTCCTAGAGTAATTTATTTGACTTGGCTAGACTAAAGTTGGTATGAAAGAAAATTAGTATTCCTTTTTTTTTTTTTTGAACGTGATCTAGTTGTCTTAATCATAGATTTATCCTATAGATCAGGTATACTCAAGTGTTGCAATCAACCAGGCCACATACCCTCTTCCTTGTGCACTGATGTATTTTCACTTAAGGAAGAATCTACATCAGGTAAATTTCAAACAGGCGAGTAATGAAGTTCAAGCTTTGTAACTGCAATTAAAGGAGGTAAAAGTAAAAATAACTCTCTTTCTTACCCTTGATTTCCTCCAGGCAGATACCTGCTTCCCTGCCAGTTCATAACTGAGAAACTGTACACTTTCATTGCACACTGGAAAAAATTGAGATGAAATTCCCTATCCCTAACCTATGCAAGAGGAAAGAATAAGAAAAAAAAAAATCACCACCACACAAGAGGAAAACCTGAAGACTTGCCGTAGTATTATTCCTTACAATCGGTTTCCAAACCATAAACATCGGTATGCCCTTTCAAGCTATGGGAGTCACTGGATTCATATAAATCCATTGGAGGTTCAGTCAAAGCACCGGTTAAGACTGTAGGATGCCATGTCCAAAGGCCAAATCTTCTGTTTTGCTGAGAAAAAAGAAACGTGTTGAAAAATAAGTCAAAACATGAGCTGATGATGCCCCACATGTGAGGCAGTCACAAAGTCTGCAAGCCAGAATTGCAGTTGGCAACGTTAGCGAGGTCCTTGGCAAGCATCTTGCAGCTCAGGACACCTGACTTTATGAACACTTAAATCATTCCACAAACACTAACAAGACAGGGTTTTCTACAGACCTGTCTTGCAACCAATTGCTGAGACGAGCTGTAACTGAAGTACCTTAGGACATACCCAGTCACCAAGGTTTTCTGTGTATTTTGGATTTCCACAGTTTAACAAGGAGTCCATCTTATGCCTCAGTCTTCATCTGCTCTATGGTTTATCTCAAAAATACACCTGTTATTCATAAACAATAGCCCTCTGAAATACACCTTTACTGTGGGCCTGCTCCAGAGAGAGAACCAGTTTACTCGAGATCTTTGATTCCCTGAGGAGTGGCAATGTGGGACTCTCCGATGGAACATCTGTCCTGCAGTCTCTGCCACGGCCTTGCAGATGTTACGAGCAGCAACACACCGAAGGAAAGTCAAATGGCGAGGCCCTAACTGCCTCTGGTGAGCTTAGACTTTTTAGGAAGCCACTGCTGGAGTGAAGCATTGGTGTTCTACATGTCTATCAGCTAACCAAAATAGCCACTTACAGTTGAAAGCACATTCATTAACACTGCATGTGATTAGATAGCCACATTTCTTTTTAAAGATATTTGGTATTAATATTGGATGTATGGGCCCTCTAAAAATATATGATCCATGTCACACTCAACAGTTTTTTTCAGTGTCTTTATTTTCGTTGCCGTGGTGGTGCTTTACACGAATGCACAAGTACGCTTGGGGCTCTCAGAAATCAGCACAGAGTTTGTGCTTCTTACTCATCCGCACTGGCGTGTGGGAAAGTCGCTCCTGGACACGGGCACGTTCCAGGTCTGTCAGGGCCTCCTGAACACCGCAGGGCACCCTACACGCACCTGACCTCACAGGGGCACCCTGGCGCTTGGCTGTTCTGTCTGCTGGCCACGCTGTGCAAACTGGTAACTCGCTGCCATCTCCTGGCAAACTACGATTCAGGAGTATCTGTACAGACTGGAACAGAGCATTGACATAGATATTACCTAATGTCAGCCCAATTAAAGAGAAATTACACTTAAACCTACAAGAACGCTTAATATAAAAGTGGTGGCAAGAGAAGCATCCAAAAGTCCTGCAAGGACCCCACAGCCTCTCCGTCTCTTTCTCTCCCTCCCAAAATTGTCCAACATTTCTACAGAACTTCAAGTTTGCTCCTGAAGTTCCCAATTTACCCAGGAACCTGGTGAGAATGGCAGCTCACAAGAGGGATATTATGTCCACACCTGAACAGGCAATAGACGGAACGGTATCCAACCAGCATCCCATCTTAAAGCTTCTGTTATAAAAAAATAAGAGAAGACTTAAAAACCTGCAACTGGAGTTGCTTGAACAACAGTTGCTGTAAGTGATTTTACTCATTTGCCTACAGCAAAGTGGTGGTTTTCTGCTACATTAAGGGAAAGCCAGTACCTGAAAGATTCACATGAACACTTCTACAGAATCTGATGTGCTTTCTCCAAAAGGAAATTCAATATTCTCCAGACTACTTCCAGAGAAACAAATGGACTGAAAAAAATTCTACGCAAAACTGCCTCAATAATCTAGGATGATTTTGAGTATGCATAAACTTGCCTAAGCTGGTTTAATTTAGGCAGAGAGAATGAAAGCAAGTAAGGGATGACTGATCAAATTACTTTATAAAATGAAGCCAGCAGCCATCCAGGTGGCATTTAAGTATTGCTGTAAAGCCATCTTCACACTATTAGCTTTTTCCAACTTGAAACTAGGTCAATTCATATAATCAAAATGAATACAGAGTCTCTCCCATTCTTTTGCCCTGGGACTGCCAAATCAGGCTGATACAAGAAACCTTTTCACTCTTCCCAAAGAAAGTGCTGCTTTCTAACTATTCCATTTACACAGCTACGAATAATTGTACTAGATCCACGTCGAACTTTTATTTTTATTCCTGCCTGCAAAATTTACACCCAACACTCAGTTTTGAAATGCACCACCAGTTCTGAAGTTTCTGAAGAACTTCCGATTTCTCCATAGCTTTAAGGAGTACAGGAACATTAGTGTAGTCACCAAGAGGTCAAAGCTTAATGCTGACACAAACATTATTTACTTTCCTCATCTTCTCAAGCCACTGTAAGACAGACTTAAGAAAGGTGCCATACAGATGAAAAACTTATTATTCCAGTGTCATCATTATAGAACTGGATCAACCAACACCAGTAACGGCTCCCACTTGACTCATTAGACTTCCTAGGCCGATCTGGCTAGCAGCCCTGACAAAAATACCAATTTTTCTCCATTTCTTCAAAGCAGTAAGGAACCACATTATCAAGTGGAAACACCTTTTATCGCCACTGCCATTCCTCTTCATCTACCACTCTGAAGGGATTAGCTTTCTTCAAGCATTTTAAAGCCTCGATAATTTTGCCTTTTCTGATACTATTGCTTCTTTTGCTTTTTACTTACCATGGAGTTAGCAGGGGAAAAGGATCACCGTGTGCCTTTAAAACCATATTACTGGTGACAAGCTATATTAGAATGTGGTTAGTATTTGGCTTTGTTGATTGACAATTTGTGACCACTGTGGGGGAAAAAAAGTGTCAAATCACACCACCTCAATTCAACAGCAAACCTCTTCAAAAAGAAGGTAACTAAAATCAAGTGCAAGTTCAGCTGAGGTCCTGGTAGAGAGGAAGGAGTTCTCAGTTCCGTTTCACTAAGAATTTATTCACTTGGCGTTTTAAATCTGTACCTGAGCTCCTCCTACACCCTTTTCAAGAAAAACAATCAATCTCCAGAAGTAATAGGTATCTAAGTTCAGTTTGTCCTGTATTTAAAGCAGGACCTACTGCTACTGGCAGACCACAAACAGATACAGCCGGAAAAGTCTAGAGTCAGTTCTACCTTTTAAAAAATGGTCCGAGTCCAAAAGATGCACAGCTACAGAATTTGTCTCCTTCCATTTCGACAGCAGGAGAACCACATAAGGCAGTATGAAATGTAAGATCAAACGGGCAGTAGAACAGGCATGATGAGTAAGCACTTAAATCTTTTGCCAGCTTTAAAACCACTGGCTGCATTTGCCCCACCCCTCAGACTCTCCTCCCTTACCTGAACTTGCTCACAAATGGGTGGTATAATGCAGGAACTTGTCGATAGTAGGCTGGCAGTGGTCGTTTCAAAGTCAACTCTGTTGCTATTCTCAAAGTCTGTAATTTCTTCCCTGAAAATCCATAAGGAAAACTCTGGAATCAACTAAGCATGATGTTTTAAGAACAAGATGTGCCAATTTACTTTAAAAGCTTAAATAACTTACAGAAGCTGCTCAATGCAAGTATTTATTCATACCCAATATGTAATTAACTAGTTACAAAGCAAGATCTTTCATGCTACTAAGTGTTGCTACTTACATTCAGGAGTGTATTGAATGCTACCGATCTGAGGCCTAGATGAAAATTCTTCTGATCTCTCTCTGCAATCAGATGCAATATAACTAGGGGCAATACAAGTTTCAGTTGCCAGTTAATCCTCAAATCAGTATTTAACATAAATAATTTAGTCTCAAATGTATGTTCAAGGATGAAGTACTGATACCATCAAGGAATCTCTTTACCTTGCAATTCAATAAAATGGGTACCACTTTATAACATAGGAAAGCAAACTTCTGCGCAGGCCTAACACCATCATATATATTCTTTCAGAAAAAATGTAAGGTCAATTAGAACTAGACTGAACTCATTTTATTTCCTTCCAAAAAGAATAGACACTAATTTAACTGTATACAGAATTTAATTTAACTATAACTATACAAGTTTCAGTATATTGTCCTGTTCAAGAACTTATATTAAAAAAAAAAATACTGCCAAAATTCTAATGCATACTTTACAATTAAATGCCCCATCTTTCTTTCCCCTAGTAACCTCAGACTAGAGCTGCAGGGTTCAGATTAACTTATGTACGAATGAAAATTCCCTTGCTCTTAAATGTAGCTTTATTATTGCCCATGTTTCTTCTACCACCACCAAAACTGGACTCAGAAGTAAGTTTTACTGTATTAGCAATGAAAAATTCGATGAACCTTGTAAGAACAGAATTCAGAAAAAGATTAACAACAGTTTTTTACTAGATCAAATTATGTCACATCCCTCTAAAAAATAATACTTAAGCATTTCTGTTTATTAATCTGTCACATTTTACTATAGTATCTGCAAATTTCTTACTTTGAACACTTGAACAAACGAGTAGTAACCACTTTCAGTTAGACCCATCAAAACTCGCATCGAGTTCTCTGAGAACTGTGAGTTCCTGTTTTGAAGGAAAAGGTGTCCAACGAGGTTCCAAGAATTTTCATCATTATACTCGGTCAAACAAGTTAGCCAAAAGAACAAGACAATTTTCTTTTTTTCTGGTATGACCAAACACTACCGTTCCCCCACTTTCTATTGTTATTGCATTTAAACCTCCAAGATTCCTTACCTTGACTAAACAAAGGTGCCCATTTAGTTATTTACTGTACTGTTTTACCTAGTTGCTGTCCAGGCACACTGAAAACTCCTCCCTACACTGCCAAGGCTCCAAATCCACCGTTCCAGTTAATGGAAGTCCAGGTCACTCAAAAACAGAATTACAGTCAGCAATTCTGTTTAGATATACCACCTGACGTGGCATTGTGTAATTTCATCACAAATCATTGCAATTGAATGCAAAGTAAAGGAAACTTGAGTTTATTTAGCTTCCAATTTCTGGGAGGTCAAGAGGAACTAGGACTGCTCTGGACAACGAAAGAAAATAGACTGTGCTTACAGATCATTTTCTGCCATATTCTTTCTTTAGGACCACCGTTTTATTGTTGCCCTTTCTATTACACGGGATGTACATATTATCAGGTGTTAATAAAAAGTCAGTGCCTGTACAATACATTCTACAACTGAGCACCACTTTCCGTAACTGAACAGGCAAAGAAATTACACTGAACATCAGCATCTGGCAGTATTTCTCCAAAAAAAGTGACTAAAATGGGTTTAAATTGATTAACACTATTAAATCACATCTAATATTTGATACTACATGATTTCATTACAGCTATACGATACAATTATACAAAATGTGTTAACATCAAAGAATACAACCAAAATTAAGATAGCAAACAAAACCTATATAACTTTTTTTTCTTTACAGGAAAATACTTTTGAAGTATGCATGTAACTGCCCATTCTTTTAAAGAAAATCTACCGCAAGCAAGTTATCAACCTCCAGAAAAATCACACATAGCATTACTACGCATATCCCCAAAAAGTGTACAATATGCACACTTGGAAAATACAAAATTAAAAAAATTGTAAGCAACAGGTGAGCTTCATATTTATAAGAATGTGAAAAGAAGTCCAATTTTAGCACTGTTGTATAAAGAATTGTCTTTTTTGATGCAAGTTCATGAACTAACCCCTTCGGTTGGGGCCACACTTTACAAAACACCGTGTTCTTGAAACGGGATTACAGAGCAAGGTAGAGCATCTTAGCAACGTCACCTTAAAGTTTTTTTTGTGTTTTTTTTTTTTCTTTTTATTCACTACTTATCAAAACACGTCCTTTAGGTTTGTAGGGTTCTTTTTTTAAAATTCTTTCCTAGAAACAATATACAAAGGGGAGGCATATTTATTTCCAATTCATACTCCTGTAAGATGCTTTGAGTTCAAGAACTTTCTCTTCCAACTTTCACTGGTTGTTTTTGGCCTTAGCGTGTGTTAAGATGTGAGATTTCAGGTTAGTTGATTGCGCAAACTTCTTATTGCAGCCGTCAAATGGGCAAACATAGGGCCTGTCGCCAGTATGAATTCGCACATGTGTGCGTAAATTGAAGTCCAGTGAAAAACGCTTTCCACATCCTTCAAACGTACACTGTTGAAAGGAAAAGACATACTCCATTAGCTAACAACAGCAGTACTCATTTCAATCACTGATTAGAACAGTATTCTTTAAATCACTGCACAGACACGAAGCTAGATGCTGAAGATTATTACAGGTGAAGCTGTGGTCATCACTTTTAAGCCATGTTTAAAAAAATAAAATGAGTACTTCAGGTTGTTTTACCACAGTAGTATATCTGTTTTCAAAGAGGGAAATAACTTTCAGCTTGCAAGCAAATGCTTTCACTAAAAACACCTTCTCTGCATATGAAACACTATTTTGCTATGCTGTACTAGAAAACAGAAACAGTGTTTCACATCAGAATTTCCCTGTTTTGGTGATAACTTGCAAAGATTTGCTCATTTTACCAGCTTTACTTTTAAGGTGGGCTCAGAATACAAAAGACAGCATGTTTAGTGGTAAATACTTGTAATTTAAAACACAGCAGCTCCAGCATACACATCTAAGGGAATGCCGGAGGACTGTAAATCAGGTTTCTGAATTAATTCAAATTAATTAAAAAAAAAATCAACAAAAAATATATATCTTAAATATGTACTAGGGAACAGAGATATGCTCAAGACTATGAATACCTGTAAAGAAGATTTATAAGGAGTATCATATGAAGTAGACAGGGGACCTCTGGTGGCAGAAGCTCACGTGACTTGATATGAATGGAAAGAGATTCAGTGACTACCATCATTTTGATGAAAACTGATTAATACTGCTACTGAAAATTAGTATCACGAGTCAACTGAGCAAACAGCCGCGAGTCTCAGTTGTCCACAAGTGCTAAGTTGAAAAGATGATGAGGAGAAAGAGACATTTTCCTCATTCAGTAGTAACTGCAGACTTCATTTTTGAAGTGGGTAACTTTACATTATATTTTGGAAGGCATCTCCCATGTACATACAGTTTGCTAATTTCTAACAAAAGCCCACAGAATTAGTTAAACAACAGCCTGATTAGCTTAAGGGGACTTCCAGTTTTTAAGGTGATCATTCCGTGCCTCATCTGATTTCAGAAAAAAATATGGTATCCTCAAAGTCATATAGAAGCTAGGTTACAGTTACAGTCTACACATGTTTACCAAATAAATTGTGGTACTTATGTCTGGAGGTTAACAATACCTGAAAGGGTTTCTCTCCGGTATGAACTAGCTGATGTCGCTTTAGTTTTGAGCTCTCCACAAAGGCCTTGCCACATTCTGCACATACGTGTACTCGAGGGCCATGAGTGTGCAGATGCTTCCTCATGGCAGAGTTGTCCCTGAACATCTTTGTGCAGCCCTTAAAAAGACAGTGAAACTCAATTAGTAGATAAGCTAGTTCTGATAAAGGAGGTTTTATCTGCTACAGTACAAGCATTTAAAGTGCTTTTATATCTTGAATACTTTCTTAAAAGTTGTCCCTGAAAAGGAGACCCCTTACATTTATTTTAAAAAAAGCAATACCAAGAAAACTGATCATTTGAAAAGCTGGGGGAAAAAAACTGAACCCCAAATAAAAAAAAAAAAAAACAAAACCCTCTCCTCACTTAGTATTATGAGCCATGTGTAGTCAAAAGAATAATAGGATAGCCTCATAGAGAAGATGCAGCTCTGACAGAAGCAAATGAATAAACCAAACAAAAGCACTTGCAGTTTCAGGGAAAGAAAAACTGAAAGACAGAATGGGAGCTCATAGATACCTATGGTATATTCTTCCATGTGCTATATTCTCAGCACTACAGTACTATAATATACGATATATTCTCTAATATACTGCAGGTTACTCTCTAGTACAAATTTGTATGTGCACCACCCCATCTCCCAACAGTCTGTCATCTCTCTTCTCATTCCTGAGAAGAAATGCAGCAAGAGGTATTCCAGCATGTAGCAGCTTACAGAAACTACTTTGTCCAAACTAGCAACAGCAGATTGATCACTACCGCCTTGAGATATAAAGAGACTGCCACTGCTTCTCCAGTTTAAACCTACAAGTGATACTGGGCAACTGAATAAGGTAGGAGAATCTCTGAGATAGTGCCAACTCAACCTAACAGCAAAAGATACTCACATTAACTCAGGCACAGCATGAGAAGTCTTAATCTGGGGTCCATGCTGCATTGACACAGGAATACTACTTTTGATTCCAGAGTACACTTAAGCAAGCAGAGACCTGGGGCTGTCTTCACCCAGCCCTTCTAGAACTTTTTTCACCTTTTAGTGACAATCAATAGACATCTATCATATGTTTTATAAATGTCTTCCTCAAGGTTCAAAATCCCTCATAAAATCTTACTAACAACTGTAAATTCTAGCTGTACTCCAAGTGATGCTGTTTAAACTTACTTAAAACTAGTCTACCAACATTACTGTGTTATGAGGCATAAAATTTGACAACGGAACCTAAAGGAACAATCAATTGCCGATCTTAAATTCCGCAGGCCTCCTCTTTGGAAATTATTTTTTTCAAAATAACCACATTTAAATATGACTTATTTCTTTAAAAAAAAACAACCAACCAACCAACCAAACAAACAAAAACAACAGAAAAAAACACCAAACACCACACAGGGGGAAATGCCACTTTCAAGAAGAGTTCTCTCTTCAGGCACTAGAATTTCTTTGACCGATTTAAGAAGTGTTGTGCCACCATTCATTGCATATAACAGAACTGGGGGGCAAAGCAGCACCAAAATAAACATACTATCAACTTTTTTTGCATTTATTTCAGAGCCCCTGCTTGCCTCTGAGAGGAGCAGTTATACCTTTGACAATATTTTTCTTTTTTAAACTAAAGTCATAAATGCACAAAGCCTAGAAACACTACAAGAGAGAAAATGGAAGGACAGAGTATTTTTTCCCCTTGTTTAGATGAAGCTGAGGCTATGAAAAAGTAAATCAAAGAAATGAAGGCAGCATTCCTCAGTATTGTAAGGAGTAACTGTTCCTGTATCTCCACATACTATACTATAATAAAAACATGACACTTGTGGAATGTGAAGAATTGGAAATCAATATAAGCACGAAGAGGAATCCAGCAAATTCCTTAGACTTCGGCTGTCAGAAAGAAGTCTTCTATTCATGCTCTCTAATGTGTACTATTAGCTATCTGCCCTGATTATTTGCTTAGGCTCACACTTATCTAGACCAGAAGTCAGCAAGATTGTATTTGTCTTTTTTCATTACAGACTAAGTCAGCTAACAGAAGCTCTACAAAAGCTGCATAATGCCATAAAGCTAGATGCTACCAATCTAGGTGACTGGCAACATTTACCCAAGACAGAGGCTTCCACACTATCAGTGGGTCAGAACCATATCTCCAAGATGCCTCTCCCTCTCCCTCTCTCTCTCTCTCTTTTTGAAGATGATGCACCTTCCAGCCCTGTGGAATGTAATCCAAAGTCTTCCAATAATGCTGACTTTGGCATCTGCACCACAAATTGCTGATTCCTGATCTAGACTCCAAATCCATCACGGTTTACAAGCAAAGGATATATAGATCTTGGGAACGTACTTTCAACAGCTTTCAGAACATTCTTTCAAGTATGTAATCTTGGGTGGCATGAAATCACAACAGTAAAACCAGCATGTTAGGGACCGTGTATCATGATTATCAGAAGATTAGGGATGCACTGACCTTAAGACAAGGAATAGGAATAATATATTATTCAGTGAAAGGTCTTTAAGGAAGCCTCTAAAGAATGATAACTGAAATACAGTTAACCGAGTGTAGTCTATTAACAGTAAGATATTTCAGTTATTCATTCTCAAGAGAAAACATCAATACAAAATTCTGGTCTACAAATTACTACCTACTCGGAAGCTGAGCACTTCACTTACTTTGTGAGGACAAGCTATCGTTCGTGGAGCATCATCTTCTTTAATTTTTCTTGGTTTCATTCTTTAAGATAAAAAAAGAAATAAAACATAACATTAGTAGAAAAACATTAGTAGACAGCTCTTCTCCCATAACTACCTACATAATGCACACATTTATTTGATAATATTACGTGCATCAGTAGTACTCAGTTTAATATTTTCAAAGCCTTCATAATAATATTAACAGCATAATTTAGCATTTGGAAAGTTCAGCTTTTCCAGAAGGACCTCTCAAATACAGAAAAAAGACATTTAATACTACCTCCCTCATCCTTTGAGTATGTGGAAATACAGGTGTTTTTTTCCTGACTTATACTAATCGTAATTAGGAGGTCTTGTTTGAAAACTCCATTTTTGTTGTGCCAGTGCCCATGTGGCCTATTTATCTTCACTTCCTCTGCATCCCTGCACCAGGACATGGAGAACAGAGTAGTCTCAATCATTCTTCAGTACTTTCACCACCCAAGACTTCAGAAGAAAACTCTACAGAAGCAGGGAAGGCAGGCAAGTTGTGCAATCTACACAGACAATGTAGGCATCCATTATAACTACAGAAACTGCAATTATTCTTACTTTAAGCTACTGTACACATGGATTCCACTCTTGACAAATGACAAGCAATCATTTATTTACTCTTGGTTGCTGACAGGGATCTTCACCACTACTTTATGGGTGCCATTAGTCTCCATTGACTACCTATAAGGAGCCCAACAAACTATTGCTTGCCTGTGTTAGGTATTCCAAATACAGTAAGACTCCCTGGTAGACAACAATGTTAGAACAGTCCTGGCATAACAACCACCTGTCTGAATGTCAAAGAAGTGTCAGCTGTGTGGACACTATTCTGGGTAAGTGCGCTGCCCTTTCACCTACCTTTATTTCTCAAACCTGTAGTGCTGTCTTCAAAAAAGCCAAAGAGAAATGGCTTATCTCTACCTTATGGTGGAGGTAGGTAGGTATAAATAAATGCACCTCAGGCAGCTGAGGATTCACTTAAGTAAGTAATGAGATTTTGTGTATTCCAAAACCTTGCTGTAGAAGGGAAGCTAGTCTGTTTATGTGAGGTCCTTAATTATTTTCCCTGGTAATACAGTATAAGATAGTTCTGTATGATGAGGTAGCTACATATCATATCTGTAAGTGAAACAAAAGGTTTTCTGGTGTTCTCTCTAGTCTCAATTAAACAGAGATGAGTGGCCTGAATTTAACAAAAGAATTAGAATGATCAGAATCACTATTCTTAACATTAAGAAGGAAAGAAGTCTGTTGCCATCCAAGACAATTTTAATCCCCATGAGTTCAGTTCCTGGAAACAGAAATGGAAGAACAGGGTTGGAGGAAGAGATTTCCAAGTAGTACATACATGTGGTTTTTTTTGTTTTTTTTTTACGTGCATTTTTAATAATTGGTCTGAGAATGGCTACTAAACAGCAACTTCTAAATGTACAAAACAATTCCCAAGAGCTGCAGGGAAAATAAGCTAAAATCTCTCCAATTCGACCCTGTAAGCATTTGTTTCTTTGCAGGCAGGGTCCAGTTGTCTTTGATACTGTAAGATTTCTATGCATAGAGCTTAAATCTGCTGTTTCACCTGCCTCCTTCACATGAACAGATGAGAGAGGACAGGAATGGAAGGCCCTGTGAGGCTGAATTAAGGCAAGAGCAGTGAAAAACCTCCCTGAGAATTCCTGAAGACTAGATCCAGGAAAATCTTACAACTGCCAATGGAATCATATGTGATGGAGAAGTCTCCTATGGCTCTGTGGGCTACCATCTGTCCCTCAAACAATATGACTCCTTCTCAGTATTGCAGATGTAGCACAGTTCAAGTGGTCACGTAAGTACTAAAGCACTTGACAGTCAGCTGCTTCGCAGCCACAACATTAAACCCCAAGGATTTAGAGGCTGCATTTGTTCTTTACTCTAAGTGGACATTTAGGAAACTCCTGCTAGCTCAACATCTCCAGACTACACTGAATATGTGCAGTGCTAACTGAAGAACACTGCAGTCTCCTGCAGGGTTAAAAATACAGATATGACAAAAATATGGAAGTTGGAGAGTATCATATGCAACAATCCCTTCATTTACAGATACTAACAGCTCCTAGAAGACAGGTGTGAGGTATTTGTGTTGACAAAGCTCCTCTCACACCATTGTCAACAGCATACCTAAAAATGTCATCAATTTAAGGGCAGAGACATCCTGAACACAGCAAACTATATCTGTTCCTGTAGACCAGCCTCTTTATTATCTTTATCTTCCTGTTAAGTTTTCTTTTTCCAAGATTACAGACCAACTTAGATGACCTTATTGATTAAATTTCATTTATATAATCCAACTGGAATACAGAATGATTGTGCTGTGTTTAGTTTACGCAGCCTCTTTGAGTAAAGTATTAAATACCTAAATCCAAACAAGTGATTGGGATTACCTGACTGACTATACTCTCCAGTGAGGTTCTAGACTGACAGCAGTGCAGGTACTGAGGCTATAGGAAAACACACACACACACACACACACACACACACACACACACACACACACACACACACACACACAAAAGCTTTCTTACAGTAACTCTACAGAAAGTCAAAATGGACACACGGAAGAATGCTTTGACAACATAGGACATGAGAGAACATAGTGGCGTGGTTTAATGCCATTAGATAACACACACACCTAGGGGACAAAGCTGGTGCTGAAAACACCTCCTTTACTTCTAACTCTATCACCTTGTTCATTCCCCCAGCCCCCCAAAAAACAAAGCAAAAAACTCCTAGGCCCAAAATTTCTGTCTGTGACATCATCAGAACGAGTAAAAACACCTTTGTTCTGAAGTCATAATTGACCACCTGTAAAGGGAGAGACTGGACAGAAATGGAATCACTAACAGGAGATGTGGTAAACAGCTTTAGTGGGCAGTGCTTGCATTCTTTACGCTTGGCGTAAGATCCCACTGATCATCGTGTTAAATCCTATTCATAACTCTTGTGTCTTGCCTCTGGTACTAAATCAATCTTTGAGAAAGAAATGCTGCAACAATGTCATCTGTAACAGGCTGTTGAAGTCGAGTGAGAGGGAAAATACCCTGGCCAGTGTAGTCAGGAGGCTTGAGGAACAAATCGCAGCAGAACTGGATGGTCAGACATGGGATAGACTGGAGCTTCAACATACACCTTGCATTTTTCAGTTCAGTGTCTGAGCAGGTACGTAACATTCTGAGTGTCCATTCTGGAATAAGCCGACTTTTTAATTTTCAAGCTTTGTTTCTAAAGTGACCAGTATCAGCCCAGTAGTATACTTGAATGTAAAAACATTTAGTCCCTATTCACTACAAAATGACAACAAAGTTTAGCTAGTAAAGGAGTAGATTTTACATCTTTTCATTTCTCCTGGAACTACGGGAAGTGGACAACTTCAGCTTAAAATGAAGACGACGACTGTGCATAAGCACAGGGTTCCATAGGCAACCCACCTATTCAACAAAACAGAGCAGGCACTTCAACAGGAAGGCGGCAAACAGTGTCCAGGTTACACCTCAGCGCCACAGGCAGCAAGAAGCTGCTGGGCCCTTCGTACACTTGGATTAAAGGCACGAGGGCACGTACATCACAGGCACAGCTACGACACATCATTTTGTCAAAAATGTCATCTTGCTCACAAGGCTGTGGAATCCATATGGACAATCACTCAAAGAAGAATTTCAAGACTTACATATTCAAATGTATTAGAAAAAAGATTTTGGTCTTACTTTAAAATTAACTTTCTGCAAAAGGAGACCAGACTAGAACCTGGGCTGTTGATCTTAATTACACTGTGTTGCAGGTAGCTCTTGCTGGTGGTTAGACTTTTGGCTCCCACCCAGTAGAGCATCTCTACCAGCTCCGTCCAAGTTTTCTTAGCCTGAAACATTAATCAAAAACAGAACTCTAACACATACCACTATTTAAAACAGCTATACACACACATATTAATACCTGGATGGAACTTTTGAAATGGCTGCCTTTGCAGAAAGTCAATTTACATGGCAAGACCAGAATTTTCATTTCTGCGGTGAGTTTATATGGGCCATGCCTAGTAATAGCAACTGCAGACTAGCTAACTGTGGAAAAACTAGCAAGTGTACCTTTGGATCAAGGCACTGGGACACTGCGATTAAAGGCTAAATCTGTTAACTTGTATGGGATGGGTGGAGAGAGGGAATGGGGGACAGGAGAAGGAACAGGAAGGCGTGCAACCAAATAGCTTCACAGAATGAGCACCATAAAAGCACACTCTCTTATCCATGCATAAAGACTGAGTGAAATCACAGGTATGAAGCCACTCAGTTCCTCAAAATAAAGCAAGCAACTCTGTCACTGTGCAATATCAGAAGGCAACAGCTACCTCCCTCGACTACCCAGCTGAACTGGAAAAACTGTATCTTGACAGAACCAACCCCCACCCTGAACATCTGTCAATCTCCACAACCTATCGTCTTGGAGATAGATCCAATTTTAAGTTAGCCACAGAAACAGAGTTAAGGCTAGGAATAAAGGAAATCCATAAGTCAAGAACAATTAACGGTATAGAATTTCCCCTTGTTCCGATAGCTCCCTTTTTGCTGCTGTTAAACTTCTGTATTCTCACATCCTTTCTTCTCCCTCTATACATCAATCTAACCTAAACAGTATTACTCTCTCTCAGGCAACTCCTTTGACATATCCCAGAGATCTCTGATGACCAGCAGTGATATTCACCTGTGCTGACGACCACATCCCTAAGAACAGTTAGAAGAGGAGGAAATTATTCTCTAACAGTAGTGTCACTGCTACTTCTGATCTGTTCCCTCACTCTACCATTCCCCTTGTACTGCCCTGCTGAGGCAGAAATAACACAAGTGTCATAGCCCTGTGCTGCTGCAAGAGTTCACTTGTGCTGAAGAACTCCTGGAACTGGCTAGACTGGCTTTTGGACAAAGAGACAAAAGGGGAGAGGCACAAGGTGTCCTAGGAATCTATCTACAAACGAAGAGCCCACAGCCAGTGTCTTAACATGCTTTGGTCACAGTTAGCTAGGAAAATGTCATAAAAAGAAAAGGTTCTCTTTCACTCCAAGGTTCTGGCAAAAATAATTACTACTTTTGTTCCAGTTATGAAGAATATCATATGTGTAAACAGGGAAAGTGACCTTTGCAACAATGTACAGAATAAGAGATTTCCCCTCCCCCAGAAGAACACTTTGGTTAAAGCAATTGTCAGTTTACTGCCCTTTAAGCTTCTCTGTAACAAGAACAAAACCAGTACAACAGCATATACCTTATAAAGAGGCCCAAGTCATAAATCTAGGTGACCAGAATGGTTTGTCACTTTTAAGAAGGGTGTCCGATTTCAAACTCTAATGCAGTTTCCTCTCCTTTGTTCTTTACCCGTTTTGGAAAGTGGATAGAAAGAGAGGGCAGTCCTTACAATGGCTCTCCTTCAGAAAAGGTACTAAGCAGAAAAGATAAAGCCGTGGAGAGTAAAGTTTTTACCACTAGGACCCATTACTCCACCGATTTCCCAGCTATAGCATCTTCCCCTCTTATTTCTTAGTTTTACCGATGTCTGTATTCTGCTGTCTTTAGCCATGTATCTGTCTTTAGCCACGTATCTGTCTTTAGCCACGTATCTGTCTTTAGCCACGTATCTGTCTGGAGAGTAAGAGGGAGGGAGAGGAGAATCAGGGATATCCTTTTTAGTGGCTTTGTTTGAGGGAATTTGCTATATGCACCAACTAGAAATATGTCTGTTACTTCCCTAAGCTTTTATTACCAAGCAGTTATGACTTCTTCACGGCTAAGTACAGAATTACTTGTAATCAATTTAGACTTGGATGAAACATTTTATTTCACTTGAAGGGATTTCCAGTGTCCCAGTCAAAGGTATCAAATGGGAATGTGGTAATTTATTAGGTTGTATTTCTTTCTGAGCAGATCATTCACAGCTAATGTTTCACATTCTGATATGATTGCCTAAGAGAAATCCACAATTTTTTCTCTTTTTTATTGCATTTTTAAAGCATACTAGAGAAAATGTGTGATTCCTACAACAGAATGAAATAATTTGTAAAAGGCGATACATTTCCCAACCAGGTATAATTTATGGTCATTCCTCTATGCATTACTGAGCACGTCTTCATCTTCTGACACAGCTTGTTCATTCACAGTGTTTTCAATAGTTTTAGAATGTATAAAAGCCTTTCCAGGAAAAAGTATAAGATTTCCAGTTAAAGGATCCGGATTCCTACTACATGACTCAATGACAAATGCACTAAAAAAAGCAGCGAAAGACAACTGTATCACAAGAGGCAGTGTAACTGCTCACTCTGCTAGTGCCACCTGGCTGCAGAGCAGCAGTGGTGTCCATTGCAGATGCTGAATTACTACAGTTTCAATTTTTTTTTTTTTATTTTTTTTTTAATAAGGGCTGCAGAGCTACAGAAGACTTCAAGCATCAGGTCCACCCCTGCCTTACCTCTCACTAACCAGACCGTGATCAGAACTCCAGAACCTGGCCTGAAATGTTACCACTATAATTCAAACTTTGACAATTTAAACTTAACCTCAGAACTTTGTTCCTAAGAATTGATGCAAATGCCTCAGTCAATTTATCCTTAATCAAAATAAGCTGCATGGCTATAAACACTGAATCTAGCCTCATTTTGAGTAGCTAATTTCTACAAACATATAATGAGATTCTTCCAACTACCTTAATGAAAACAGGAAAGCAACTCAGAATAACTTGCTCAAAACTGCACAAAATACACTTAGCATACAATTTTACTGGCCAGTTTATGCTTCCTTGTATGGGGACTGTGCACAATTCTTTTTTCAAGTCATCAGAATACAAATTTGCTACTCAAAGTCTTACTCAGAGCACATGAAGCTACTTTATAAGTTTAAAAGTAGGTTTCAACTTCACCTGCTGCTCAGTTTCCAGAATACAGATACTGAGAATTTCAAAATTCTGCATTGTAAAGCAACCAGCAACACTTGAAACTTTCAGAGAACTTTACACTAAACACATTCTTTTAGCATGAACAACTGTATTCCTAGGACCTCCAAAGCCAATTCCAGTACATGGAAACCTAGTTTTTTCTTCCAGTTTGCCATGCAAGTTTTCTAGTGATATTGCACACAGCAATCTAGACCAACAAGACAATTGATCAGTATAAAAATAGGCTTGTAGACATCAGTGCTTGAATTCATGTTATTAGCTAAAAGGAGTCCCTTCAACATGCTTCACAGCAAGAGGACCAAGACCTTAAGAAGCAATATTCAAATTCTAATATACCCATATTCTTCAGCCTCAGCTATACACAATCATTTAAGATCCAACATACAACTAACACAGTTTTCTTTTTCACACCCCCCCCTTTTTTTAAAGTTAAAAGTTTGACAGTCATCAATTCTGACCAAGAAATCGAAAAACCTTTCTTAAAACAGAAGATGCTTGAAGTTTTCACATAGCCACAATTAAGCTATCAGAACAATTCTTCATAGGTTTTGGGCAACTTAGGGATATTGCTAAAGGTACCGTCCCCTCAAGTTGCTTACTCTACCACCATGTATTTGTCTTACAACTGAAGTGGATTACATTTTATCTACTGTACAGAAACATATTAACAGAAAAGAGACTGTACACATAGAACTCAATCTTTCCATCATCTTCTACAAATTCTAGCTCTAGAACTTCCTAGAACATTCTACCATGAATTTTAAAAAGTGGCAATTTTAAATTACTGCCAGCTGTCACTATTTTCTCAACAGAAAACTAACTAAAACCCAAAGATGCAATACATTTTACAATATTAAGAAATATGCAGACAGATCTGATAGAAGCAATCTGGTCATTTCAAGAAGCCCAAATCTTGGCAACCATTTCAAGTATTCAAACCAATCTGGAGAAAAATATTCAGTATTTGCATGGAGAATACCCTATGAGAAACTATTTAAACTTCCTAACAAAAAAAGATAGCTATTCAGTACTTAGATGTTTAATAGAACCAAAGATTTCAGGATGCTTTAAAATAACTGAGAATACCATTCTAAGCACACGATGAGCAGAAATGTGTAAGTAACATTTTAGAATTAGAATGCTATGTACACTCAGAGCATCACTTAAACATTTGCTTTCACAAAAAATTGTATTAACCTTTCAGCAGGTCTCAGAGGAAAACAATCATTTTGACCAACAATAGTAAAACAAGTAACAACAGTATTGATAGCTAGAACCACACACCACTGTAGATAAAACCCTGTTTTCAGTTGTTTGTGATGTGTTTTTACACATTTCCAGATCAGATAGCCTGAAGCAGGGAGCAAGCCCTGCAAAACTATCTTACTAGGATCCTTCAAAATCCATAGTTCAATGGCTTTACTGAAAATAATTGTGGGACAAAGCTGTGTTGGCAATCCTCTGGTACAAACACCCTGAAGAGTAACAGAACAAGCCTGTAGAAAGCAGCAAGATCAAAGAGGTGAAACAAGAGTAGATGCACACACTGGACACTAAGATCCACCTAACCAAGAAGCCAGACCAGAACTTGTCTCAACAGTGCCTGCCATCTAGCAACTAGCTGAAAAACCTAGTAATAAGAAAAAAAAAAAAGCATACTTCTCCCTCTACTAGCTGACCCAGGAAGTAAGAGTAACAACATCTGATCATCCACCTGCTCTAAGTGTCAGAATTGTGCACCAGAGCTCTGAAGAATACCCAGCTGGTAACAAAATGAAAATGAGTGTAGCTTCATACATACGTTTTGCTTTCAACATGGGAAAAACTGATTACAGCAGCTGGAGGAAGCTAACGGTTGTGCTCAAGTATTTGGAGACACCAGCATTAATGCTGCCCGTGCACTGAGTGAAGGAGTATGCCTTTGGTAATTACAAGCACATGCACACAAAGAAGGGGACCAAGTAAACGCTGCAAAGGCAACCCTAATGTCACAGCCTCTAGGTGCCAAAGCAGACTTCTCTGGTGCCCTCACGGTTGCCCTCTGGTGGCCACCAGCTGCCCTGAGCGCTCAGCACTGGAGCCACGGGCTCTGCAAAGAGAGGGGGGAACAGACACATGACACTTTCAGTACCCCAGACAGTAGAACAGAGCTTCACCTCTACTTGAAAGTAAAAGTCACCTTGTAACTCAGGTCAATGTATTGATATGTAAACGAGTGATAATTCTGATTCACTAGAGGAAAATCCAAGCAGTATAGTTACCAATTGTGAAACTGCAATTATCAGTGGCACTTGAAAATGCAAGACACGTGACTCCATTAAAAAGAAGTTTAAGACCTAGAGCTTAAAAAGCAAGAAGCAAGTGAAAAAGAACAGTAAGTGGATTTATAAACTAAATATTTTAGTCTAGCTTTCTTGTACTGAACAACCTGAATGCAGCAGTTCACTTATCAGATCCTTTGGTGCTAAGGAATCTAAGAGTACTCACATGAAAGATACATTCTATCATGTCAAAGATGCAGTCTATCAATGTATTTAGGTCCTGTCTCGCCCAACAAGAACTAAAGACCAGAAGTCATTGAAGAAGTCACTGCTGAATATAAAACCCAGTTATTTTAACACGGTATCAGCTACTCTGTTCTGAATTAAGTCCCTTGTTTCAGAAGACGATTAAATGCAACAATAAGCCATACTGAATTTACCATTTATTTTGCCTAACAGTTTCATAATTAAACCGGAGGGGAAGGGTGGGGTGGGGGTGGACATGGGAACAAACAAACAAAAAAAACATTTCAGTGTAAAGATCTTTTCTTCCTACTTACCTAGCAAATTCAGCCAGTTGTTTGGGGTCTGAGAGGTCAATGCCAGGTATTCCACCAGGAGGAAGTTTCTTCCCTGTCATGTACTCTGAGTAATCTGGAGGAGAATTCTCTCCAATAATCTGCTCTTCCACCACTGTTTCATGGTCAATATCTTTTTTATCATCTGAAATACACAAAACACTGAATTCAATACACACTAACGATCAAAACAGCATGTAAGTTATTAGGCTGCATCTCAATACAAATACTCTCTTGCTGCACACTTGAAAGAATACGCTGCACTTCCAGACTTCCGTACTAATTGTGAAGAGCAAAAAGACATCCATACAGTTACAGCATGAAGAACACAGAAAGAACACAGTGGGCGAGGAGAAGAAAAAACCAAAAAACAAAAAAAACCCCCAGAAGTCACATATCTACTTAAACATAAACAAACAGGGAGTAGAACAAGGCTACGAATATTGGCTGCATTTGAAAGATAGTGCACTTTTCCTGAAACAATGCCCAAATATTTAATTCCCTTAACCTCTTCAAGACCAACCTCCACCATACCCACTTTGGATCCCCACAGCAGTCAGTAACCAAGCAAGCCTATCAGAGGAGGGGCAGATACTTACCCTAAGACGTTAGGACTACTGATCTTTACTTCAGAGCATGCAGATTTCCTTGACCTCCAACAGAAGTGTCACAGAGGGACAAGAAATATAAAAATAACTGCTAATGGGCTTCAGCACCTGCCCATAAAACGTAAGTTTTTCAACACTTGCAGACAGGTCTGTAAAAGCAAAAAAACTAAACAGCGTGTCTCCCTCCCAAGGGGGCTTTTTCCTTCCATAGCAGAGGCCAGCCTAAGCTCTTTCCCACTCTACTATATAAACAGCAGATAGGGATCGTTCAGAGCTTTGATCTCCAAGGCAGTTAAGATACTGCTACTTCATCTGCTCTAGAGCTCGTCCTATGGATTTGTGCTCAAGGACTGCAGTGAAATCAGGTGGAAGACCTGCTGTTGCTGTCTACTCACATTCAGACCTTAGAATATGCCAAGACACCATGTTTTCTCTCTCCTCTTGCTATTTTATAACAGCAACTAGTGAGACACAAAGAAAATAGAGAATGGAAACATCGACCTACGTTCCTCATTGCAGTGCTCACACTAGCAGGAAGAAAGACACAGCACCAATCCTGTTTTCCACCCTTAAATATATCTACAACAACAGATGTATATATGTATACCTGGTTGTAACTACACAGCTAAATGTTAATAAAGTTGCCGCTATGCTACTTCTCCTATTCTATGTATGGGGAGCAGATTCTGCAAATCACTTTATACACAAGAGGCTTTACAAAAATAACAGGAAGTTTTATTTTACAGGTTTAAGGAATGGAAATACAAGATGGTAGGACAGAAATAGTATTTCCCCAATTCAAAAAAAAAAAAAAAAAAAAAAAAAAGGAAAAAAAGGAAAACATAAGGCAGACAACAAATAAGGCAACATTTCCCCCCCGCAACACAGGAAATAACATTATTCATTACTCAGTAACTTAGGTTAGGAAAGAGAGGACAAGACATATGCAAATAAAAGAAATATACTAAGGACAAATTTCTATTCAATTTGTAATGCCTGCTTTTAATGCGTGCCACCGAGCTATTTCTAGAAATGTTACTGCTAGTTTGGGGTTTAATCTGATCTACCAGATCAAATAGCAGTTCACGTATACGTTCCATGGTGAAAGGGGAAAATAGACTCCAACACTGCAAAGACAGGCATGTTAATAAGAAAATACTATCTGCAGCATTAAACTGGGAATAAACTACAAAATTGACTATTTGGACAATTTTTTTATTCTAATCTAGTTTTCCACTCACTGCACTATCTTTCAGTCTTTACCAGTGCTTTAAAGAAAGCAACTGAATTTACCTTAAGCAAGGATTATATGGTAAGTTTTACAGCACCTGCAGGAGTTACAAATTCAAGTCAATAAACCTCCAATTTGGCAACAATTTGCTCTTCCAAACAGAAGGTTGAGAAAAAATATTTAGCAATGCCTACACAGACAGACAAGACATTATGAAGCTCAGAAGAGCACAGAACTTCTGGAAAGCTAAAAGCAATGCCTTCTCCGTGCTGCAGACTAGAATGAGATCAGCTGCCTTCAATGCAGCCATTTCAACAGCTACCCAGAACCTCCAGTTTGTTTGATGACATTCACAACAGAAACAAGTTTTCATTTCCTGCCTCAGATCAGATGCATGAGTCAACAGGGAAATTTTGTATACATTCCTTGAGATCTTTCCTTCCCTAGCGTAAAGGCTTGCTATTCCACAATGCTTTATTGCTATTTGAGGGCCAAACTGAAGGAAAGTCAGCCTCCAGTGCCTTTACTTCCCAAAAGCCTGCCAACAGAAACCAATTCCACAGCCATTCAATTCCACAGGCTACTGGAGTAAAACATGAAAAACTATGAACATATTGCTTTGATACAGTAGAAAATAAGAGAAAGTATCCCTTAATATATTGACAGTTAGGCAAAAATAAAAAACAATCAAATTTTCCTATACCAGAAAACTTTATCTCTACAGCAACACATACCTGCAGTTTCAAAAACTAAACAAACCAAAACAGACTAAAACAACAGCACACAAAACATTTACCTTAAAGTGTTATGTCAGGCTAACATCCTTCAAGACAGAAGACCTGGTTCACACCAAAAGTCAAACACTTTTTCAAAAGTGGCAGCAGACTTCAGGAGCTCTTTAGCATACAGACCATCCTAGTTACAGGCTACCCTATGACATTATCAACTCATTGGGAAAACGAAACAAAAACACCACACAAGAACCCCCACGCACTTCTTTGGAAGAAGTTCGGAAGAACTTAACCAATGTCCTCTGTGCACAAATTTATCACAAGTTTATTTGTGATCCCCTACCAACTTGGACTAGGCAGCTCAAAGTTTGGAGGCTAAAGTCCAAGCAAACTTTCACTGAGGCTGACAAGTTAACCGATATTCTCACTGCAAACAGGGCAAGTTGACTGCTTGATGTTTTCTGCCTTCAAGCAAGTCCTGGTGCCCACTACATCCAAATTACTTCCCCCTTTTCCTCTCACGAAGCATCAGAGAATAAAACAGACTGCACCCAAAGCAAAGCAAAACACAGAGACCCAACCCTGATATTCTGGTGACACCTCTGGAGAAGTACAGTACAAATAAGGCATAGTAACTCCATGCAGTTTATGCCCATGCCAAGCTAATCTGGATGCCACCCATGCAAGCGAAATACGGACAGAGCCATGGAGCTAGTCAGGAAAAGGAAATTAACTGCTATATACTATCTGATCTGCTTTGTTTTGTCCCTTAAAACCACTTGAGAGTACAGCAGATTCAAATATAAGGCGTTCTGCTTAAGTGTGTATTTAGCACTATTCTTATAGATCTAAGGCAGCTTTCTGTAAGGAAGTCGGAACATGATTTTAGTCCCATCTTCTGAAAGATATCGAAGATCCGAATGCATGTCCATTAGTTAACCACTTTATCTTCACAAAAACATGCACTACCAGTCACTGCAATAGCTATGCCCAATATTAATCTATCTTATAAAGCTGTAAAATACTGATTTGTTAGAGACACCAGATACCCCCCAACATCCTTCTACACCCAATTACATTAAGACAGGTACTTAGTCTAAACTGGGTTGTTCCATGTACCTGTTTAGGACATACCCAAACAAATCTTTGTCTTTAGTGTCCTTCCATCTGCACTCCTCTCATGCCCTATATACAGGCAATACATATCTTGAACTGGATTCACTTCTGCACTTCAAAGCAAGTCACACAAACATTTTTTTACTAAGATCAGTGAAAGTTCAGCATTTTAGCCAGCTGTATCTTTTGACTACCACTTAAAACATATTGCTACTGGTGAAATAACCAGAAGTTTTAAGAGTACCAAGCCCAAGTACCAACTGAAGTAGAAAGAAGCCACATTACTGGGATAAGACTAGTAACCGCAGATTCCATGTAACAGATCAATGAAAAAACATGGTAGAATCTGTTTCCCAAGATTTTATTGATTACCTTTTGCTCTTATTACCATGCTTTCTGCACCTCTTGCAGCCCTTCTGTTGCACAGAAAATCCACCTACCTCAGAACCCCGTTATTTCATGCATTTCTAGAATAGTAGCTAGCTCCAGCTGACATCTCTGAAACTCCTCAGCTTTGTAAGATGACCAGTTAACTCTCAACCCAAGAAGACCTGCCAGTATTTCTGCCTCGGTTATTCTTGATTTTAGCCATCATACTCCACTTCTAGATCCCTAATTCTCTGAGCCATCCTCTTCCTCTATTACAGAGCAGGGAGACCACACTGTTATTCAGTTTTCCCCTGTTGAAAACAAGGACTGCAAAAGGCAACTCAGAAGGTACGGTTGGTAGCAAAGCAATGAGACCTAATCCTGTAGCTTCCTCCTCAAGGCACCAAGTAAGACATTCTGCTTACCAACTAAAAGGATGAACATTTAAGCTTAAATTTTCTTTTTATGATCACACGATTAAACACCTTTTTTTTTTTTTTTTTTTTTAGGAACAGCTGAAATGCAATTACATGATAAAGGATGTATTCGCAACTGTGCAGTACCAAGGCGCTGTGGAAACAGCTTGGTTATTGCTACCACATTGCAATCTCCTCAGGCAAATTAGTTCATTGGTCATGTTTGGAAGCAAAGAACCATAATTAGCTTGTTAAATAACACAGTTATTTAGCAGACACTTCTGAATGTTAAATTCCATTTTGCACAGTATGTCATTTTTTAACCTAATCGGCTGCTAGGTTACTTTCCCTCTGATGTGCCTTGCACACAGATGGAGAACAGGTTCTTCTTTCCGTGTGTCACCCATCTCTTATTTCACACCACCGAGACATGAACTGACAAAAACACTGCGTATATCAATAGTCATCATTTAACTTCAACATCTGCGAGACTGTGCCGAAGCACTACGACCTTCTGAATCATCAGCGTACAAGTGACATGGACCTCTCAGGGAAGGATCCAATAGCAAGTTAGAGGGTCTCGTTTGAAGGTGGGCTGAGGCAACTTAATTGAGACATTTTAAGTGATGAACCACATTCATGTATTTCACTTTCAAAACTGAAAAGATATTTAAGTTAGCTGCAGGAAAATATCTACCTTATCCTCTAAGGTTCACTGGCAAAAATGTCAGGGCAGACTCAGCGTTTATGGATACCAAAAGTCTACACCGTGGCCTTAATCAGTCAGAAATACATTATCATCGTAATATTTTAAAGGAACCAGACAATGACTTTCTGCCTCCATTATGAAAAATTTTCATATAAGAAGCTCATTACTTATCTGTCATGGCAAAGAACTTCAGCCATCCTTGATACAGGCCCACAACTGAACTAAATGACTAGTCTATCATTTACAAATGACTAGTCTATCATTTATACTATGTAAGACAACTGGTCAGACAGCAGATCATTATTCTTCTCACCCTTGCAATCTGATAAAGTCAAATCAAAACCCTTCTATTTTTTTGAAGACATTAAAAGGTTTTTAAGAGGTTTTGAAGAACCTTCTAGAAACCCAGCGCACACCCCCCTGAGTTTCCAAATATGGATCCACAGCACAGGCTTCCTGGATTATCAAGAATCATTTCCAAACCATACACGTAAATTCTGCATCTTTGTCTTTCCCATCTAAGAATAGGATACTGCAGCAGTTTAACATCTGTGGGCAATGTTTAGTTTGGCTGTGCTATTTCAGCCCTAAGCTTGCAGACTATCTACGTTAACAATAATAGTTTAAGCCAACACCTATTTCAGGTCTGCAAGTTTGACAGAGTCAAGAGTCATCAACTAGAAGCAGATGTAGTTACACTAATACATTTTTTCCCCTCAAAATTAAGGCCCAGCTGCTTGAAATTCCAGCATTTGGTGGAGCCAGCATTTCAGCACCACCTTCCCAAATGCTCCTGCATCTAAGAATCAGTTTTGCAAGCACAATCTGACAAAGTGATTTCTAATGATCCTTCCCCTCCCCCATCACTATTGTGTACCCAACCTGGAGACAGTCACTAAAGAGGATGATTCAAATTGAATCTAGCAAAGGCAGAAATAAATTTCACTTCATAAGAACAAATTTTCCTAGTACAAATCAGGGTGTCTCACTTGGAGAGCACCATTAACTATATACAATTTTCTAAATCCATGACAGGATACCCCAATGAAAATAACGAGGATAGATATTAGACAGTATAGAGAAAACACACTACAGGAACATGAGTAAAGTTTCCACCATATATACCTCTTCAACCCTTTCAGAAAATAGAATGCCTTTGTTCAGGTCCTATTTTCACACGTGAAGAAAGACAAATAATTCCATTCTGAAGATCTGGAAAGCTAATCTGAACTAGAACAAAGCATTCCTGTTTCAAACTAAACACTTTAATTAAAGTAATCATGGGTCACAAGTTTGATATCACCATAGATACCAAGGTGATAAGAGAAGTTATGGTAAGTCTAAACCGTTGCCAACAACAGTACTGCAACTCCTAGTAACCACGTAACAAGACGAGGATTGAGTAGTCCCCTTTAATCACATTGCTATATATTTCACAGATTATTCCTACGCATTTCAAGAGGTGCTACCAGACATGTTACACTCAATTTATGGACAAAGATTTATGATTGACTAAATTTGGTACCACCCGTGTACAAGCTAATACAGCAGCACTAGAAAACAGTAGCAAGTAATTAATTCACATTGTCTTCCCACACTGCGGTGAGCAAAGTGCCCTTGTTCCCAATTCAAATACCCATGAACAGCAATACAGGGCTCATTGTTTTATCTTGATGCATGGGCTTATTTACTATTTGCCTTTTGATAAACTTTTTGCTAAGCATTTAAACCAAACAGTCAATTACATCAGTGTGCAAGCAAGTTCTAATTATGTCAAAATACAGAGGCAAAACTACTATCTTTGTTCAAAATGAAGTATGCCCGATTCTGCAGGGAAACTTTAGTACAACAACCCTTTTGCAAGCCAGTAGTTTGTTCTGTTTGGTTGTTCCCCCCCCCCCTCAGTTTTGCTTCGTTTTGGAATTTTTCTGGCAACTGTCCCCCCTCTAAAATTTCAGAAAACAGACAATGAAGCCTCAGCATTTCACCGCTTCTATAACATTCAATAAGCTGTGTTAAGAGGCATAAAAGCCTCAGTAAAAAGAAACATAGGCTCAGTAAAACTTCACAACACTCTTAACTGAGCAGGTTATTACCAAAGGCTGTTTGAAGCTGGGGGGGGTGGATGTGCGCAAACATGCACGCAGGGAGGGGAGGTCCAACTTTAATACTTTTCTTTCACCTATGTATTTTGTGATTTTGCTTTTGGGGGGCTTTTTTGGCATTAGAAGTCAAGTCAGAGCAGCTATTCTGCACTCTTCTGCATCATGGATATAACTGAGTTGAATATAGCAATGCAGTTCCATCTCCAATAAATTACAAGTGGATATCATTTCCACTGAGCTTGCATGGTCATGCTCATAAAGAACAAAACCACTGAAATCAATAGGGCTACCCTGATGTAAAAGTTGTGTACACGAGAAGACAATCAAGTGCATTGATTATACACATGCTTCACTTCAGTCAAGTAATCAGCATGCAGAAGCTCTAAGAAAAGCATCCTATCAGGCACTCTGAATTTCAGAGTGCAAACGCATGCTAGAAATTGTCAATTGATCTCAGCGAGGTCCTGTATCCTGCCAGCTCATGAGTCATACATCCACTTGCATTCAGCTATCTTAGGTAGCTTCCACAAACCAGAAGACTGTATTAGTTTCTATTATCTTTTTTTTTTTTCTTCTTGGATGGTCAATTCTAAGAAAAAAAACCTAGCAAGCGGATTTAATTCAGATTTCGTACAATGATATACAGAAGCATATAGAACCCCATTCTACTAAGCAGTAGTTGGGAAACTCTTGAATGAAAGTTCTTTGTTCATGAAGAGGCAAGCAACTTTGATGAGACTCACTGGGCTGTCAACTGACTATATACCAGAAGTGTCCTATACTCTGTCAAACTTGCCAAGTAATTATCTATATTTTAAAAAGGAGTAAAAATCAGAATCACCATTCTTTCCATCTTTTCAGACAAGAGAATTCAGCCATTCAATACACTTCTCCTTCAACATCCCCCTTCCTAACAAGTACTGGTCATTTACAAACATCACAGAAAGCAAACATTTGAGACTACATCAAAACCTTAAAGAGTATCTTTTATCTTCCTAGACTCTTTAAAAATTCAAAAGAGCACAAAAATTATGATATGCATGACAGATTACCAACCTACTACCCAAAGACCACACACCAATTTAAATATTACGTGAACTGATACTATTTGACCGGTTGTTTTCATGCTTGCATAACTTTAGCACAGAACTTTGCTACACAGCCTAGCTTCCAGCAATACATTTTTTGTAAAAAACAAACAAACAAATTTAAACAAAAACCCCAATGTGCCACAAGTAGCACTTTTCTATTAGCTAAAGAGACTCTCCCCCCTGCTCCCCATTTTAAAAGAAAGTATCAGAAAATCGTGGCAGATAATATAAATGGGAAGGGTGGGCGCATGTCAGCTTTATTCCAAGTCCTGCAGATACTAAACACCTTCACAAGATTTTATTCCCTTTAAGAGACGCTCCCACAAAAAAAAAAAAAAAAAAAAAAAAAAAAAAAAACAACAAAACTCAAAAAACATATTAAATCTCACACAACACAGACTCCCTGCGCTTGTTTAAAAACCCTATTTAACGCTTCAGACCTAGCCGAGGAAAAGCCGAGCGGTCTCCGAGCGTCAGCCAGAACCTGCCCCTTTCCTCCCCGCGGCTGCCCGGGACGGAGCTCTGCCTCCCGCCCGCCCGTCAG